AGTATTCAGACATCTTGCAGTGTCCATCCAGCGTCTCCACAGTGAACATATGTCCGCATCCCAGCCTGATCAATCGCTCGCTGATATCGCTCGATTCCAGGTCGACTTCCTTCAACTGACGCTGCATGATAAAGTCCACGATATCCTGCTTGCGGCTTTTGGGAAGACAGGTAACACATCTTTGTTGAGTGCACGGCTCGCCGCAGACTGCGTAGCATTGATAAGACATCCGAATATCTCGTCGTAATAATGACGATACTCACCCGACGGACAAGGATGTCCACACGGGAGCGTGTTCGTACACGGCTCGTCGCAGGGTAGACGCGCACAGATCTACCGGCCAACGCATTCAGCAAATGCATCCCGGTCTTGCCCGATTCAACTCACCGAGCCGCAGACAACAGGACACGAATGGTGGGCGCATGTCCACGGACACGGCTCCATGCACGGCGCACAAGGCTCTGAGCAAGGCTTCGGGCACTTGTGATGCACGCATTGCTGTCGGCAGGCCTCCTTGCACGAGGAGTTGCAGTGGTGATCCTGAGAACACGATAGGCCGCATTTGTGCTGACAGTATAGCGGACGGTCACAGGGATGTGGCAGATGGGCTGATCGCACGATCCGCGTTTGCGTTGTTTCCAACGTGGGTCCAGCGGTCTCCATCTGGCAGTCGGAGCATGCAGACTTGCAGGTCTTGGAGCAGCATGTCAGAGCGCCGCTGCACGGCTCCTTGCATCGAATGGAATTGGGATCTTGGTAGCATGCCATTTCTGCTATATGTTCGCAGCGTGGAAGAGATCTCCGTACTTTGACCTGGCATGCAACTTTGTCCAGCTTGTCCAGCATGTGACTGTTCACCATTGGTGAGATTAAGGCGTGATTCTGTATTTGTCGACGACTTACCAAGGAACTCTGTCCTGGACGTGTCCGCATGGCAATGTGATTTTATACATAGGAAACTCGCAGTTACCACAGTCTTCCCAGCATCGCCGTGAGCAAGGATGGCGACGTGAGCATGGAGTTCGATTGCAAGCTTCGTTGCATCTGGTACTGCGATGGTTATCGATAGCGGCATGGCACTACGACGCGCACATGAGTCATTATAATAGTTCACACCGAAGCCTTGTCACGTACACAAGACGGACAATTATGGCCACATGATAGGCGATACCCGCACGGAAGTAGACAACCCCCCGCTGGCGAAAGACGAGGGATTTCTCCGGGCCGCGTGATGACTTGTGTCTGCTCAGGATGGCGAGGGCAGGAAATCGGAAATCCGTGCCCAATCTGCTCCCGTGCGTCCATTTCATTCAAGATTGTAGACCATGTCTCGTTCTTGCGAAGATTCGCGGCATTACCAAGAATGTAGAGTCCATGCTTGGCTCTGGACAGCGCCACGTTGACACGATTTGAGCTCTGGAGGGTTCGTGAGAGAAGCTAAGGAATTCATGAAAGGGATCTCATACCTTCAGGAAGCCAATCGACGCAGAATTAGTTTCGAACGTCCCCGAGTTCCGTACCAGCGAGACGATGACGATCTTAGCTTCCTGTCCTTGGAAAATATCTACTGTACCAAGTCGAACCTGTCGACGCTTCAGCTCCCCGTTTCCCGATCAGTGAATCAAGACTTACGTGCTTTGTGACGAATACTTCCTCGAACTCGGGCTCTTCATCGATGCCTTGTCTAACAAGTTGTTCCTGGTCGCGTTCGTCGAGCGACACGGAGATCTTGAGATCCTTGAGAGCCGCTCTAACCTTCTGCAGTTGACCTAGATAGGCGCATAGCACAGCAATGTCACCTGCACCGTTATATACGCCTTGTTTCAGAAAATAGAGAACCAGATCGCGTATCATCTCGACCTGAGGGTCAAATGAATACATATCCCAACTGCAACTGGACGGGACACACCTCAAAGCTGTTGTATTTCGAAACCGAGTCGTCGCTGCCGTTCTCTTTGTTCGTGTGCGTATAGAAATAGACATCCTTCTGCATACCATGGACGGGCGGATACGATAAGACAACGTCGTTGTCTTCAAGTCTCGGGTAGAGAATCTGCCTGCAAACAAATAGAGCGCTTGAGCCTTCACGAATATGTCTACATAGACGAGGGAAGTACCGGATGAAGTGTGAGATTGTCGGCCTCATCCGCCTCTGCACGTTGATCTGTGACATAGGCAGCCCATTGTCTGCAAGCCGCTCCATCAAAGATCGATCGAATTTGAAGAGCTGATTTCCCCGTTCCGAGTCCATAGAAAGAGCTTATTTAAAGATGAGACTCGGTATGCGACGTTGACAAAGAAGTGCTTACCAAACGACGCCAGATTCGGTCGTAATTGTTGCGGATCACCGATGCAAATGAGCTGGTTCACTGGGCAGACGTATTAACTGTGATGCATCAAGAGCTTGTCCTACAAACGTACCAGACTGCACGAGAGATGTAATGACATGTGCTTCAAGTACCTGACCGGCCTCTTCTACCATCAGAACCCTCGGCGAAATATTCTAAGAAGAGCATCAGTGGTGCACAGTGAGTTGAAGCATATGTACCAACACTCAAAAGGTTTGTTAGCTTTGCAGCACCTGAGAGCGTATTTACGATCAATACAGCGTGATTGCGACATTCTGCGTTCATTTCCCGCTCACCTGTGGTAGTACAACCGATAAGGTCTGTTTGGCTGAGAAGTCGTCGTCGAGTCTATGGGTGCGTGAGTTAATCGCATCATATGTAAAGTGCCTTCACGATACCTCGTCTCTAGCGTCATTGTATTCTCTGCAGGCCTCTTTGTACTCGGTGCGCAACCGTTCGTACTCCTGGAGATTGGACATATATGCGAGTCGGCGAATGTTCTGCTCCAAGTCCTCGGACAGACGGCGTCGCTCGCCCACAGACATCGACCAGACACTATCTGAATCCAGAAGTTGTTTCAGGGAGCGGCTGGTAGTCGGCACAGGAGGCAATGAGTTGAATCCCAGTGATGAAAAAAACTCTAGAACAGTCGGATCAACCAATGGTAGAGCAGCTCTCGGTTGCGCCTTCTGGTTTCCCTTTACAGGAGGCTGACTCGGGGGCGAAATGAACTGGAGATCTTGCCCATCTCGCCAGTAGCCATATATCGTTCGTGCGAGCTTTTTATCGGACTTTTTCTTCTTCCCGGCTGTTTCCCATTCACCGTCGGCTTCCTCTTCTTTTGCAATTTTCTCGCGCAACTCTACGATCCAGAACGGAGGAGTTTCAAAGCTCTCTGCAAGGTCTGTGTGATGAATTGAAAGATACTTTCTGACGTCGTCCCAGCCGAGTTCTGGAAGTTGTATTGAGGCCATGACCGTCATCATATCTTCCTCCAGCTTCTTCATGATCGCGTACTGTCGCTTGATGGGCCTGTTCATCATGTCTGAACCGCCTACAATCTTCTCCAACTTGTCGAGCGTGAACTCTGCGATACGATCGTCAGAGGATCTCGACCCAAGACGGACCATCTTGTTCGTGATTTTCGCGTCTAGGATAGACGTCAAGAGATGGTCTAAAGCGTGATTGGTGAACGCTATCAGAACTGCAGGGAAGACCCGTCAGCACCCTAGCAAAATCTTAGAAACGTTACATGACTCACCGATCGGCTTTATTCCACTGGCGAAGAGAACTCGCAGGATCTCCTTGGCAGTGAAACTCTACGTCATTGTTAATTCAATACTGTGTCTAGTTTTGAGTATAAAGCTACTGTACCTTTCCAGTGCCTGGAGGGCTGAAATGGTGATTAAGTATAACCCCTCACGGAATTTCACTATATCAGAGTGCTCACCCCTGAATCAAGGACACTTCGCGATTCAGCGTGTTAACGACTGCATCAATTTGACTTGGATCGAGAATACTCGATGCTATAAGCTGACGACGAGCGGCATCAACCCCTCCCGGGGTAGACAGGTTGAGTGGCTGGATCCGACCAGCGTGCCCCGGCTTTGCAAGGCATTCGAGCTTGTACCGAAAGTTAGGCGCTGTCGCGAATCGCGGAGGACGCAGCTCGACTCCCTCCAGCGATCCCCCGTGCGCAATGTAACGTGAGAACGGGATCTCCGTGGGCTCAATACTCTGCAGACGCTCTAGGAACGGGCGTGCCGCTTCGAACATGACGCTGTTGTCGACTAGAAAGGCAAACCGGAGCGCATCGACGGATATGCGCTCGCGCCTCAAGGCCATGAACTCAACCTCCGCGTCAAAGAACGAAACGCGGATCTGGATAGCGTCTGGACCTGCGCGTGAAGACTCGGCAATATCCTTGTTGAACGAGGAGGTCACGCCGAGGTAGATGCGTAGTGTAGTCCCCGAGACGACTACAAGTGCCACGAGGGTGCCACTTTGCAAACGCTTGGAGTGCTCCCAGTAGTCGTATCGCTTCCTCGCGTCTTTGTCCCGCGCGGCTTGGTGTTTGGGCGTATCGAGCATGAGCCCGACGGTGAGGTCGCGCCGCTCTGCACGCACAGGCGCAAACTCCACGCCAGTGTACAGCTGGAAGAACACGGAGTCGAAACCGCTCGTGCGGTATGCACCACCTTTGCTCGTCAGAAGCTCCTCAAGCTTAGTAGGCTGCCGGAGTGCCGCGCGCGACTGCCACATCACCGCGAGATCGGAGTGCACCGCGGCGATCGAGGACCGCATCGTCGCGCTGCACAGCGGTCAGTCAAACCAAAAGGGTCCATACGGGAGCACACGTACATGAGGTCCTCCCGCAGCAGCCGGAACTGAACATCGAGGTGCCGCTCCATCGACCCTGCGGTCAAATGATGCGGCGCATCGGGTAGAAATACCGGAAGGTACGGCGCGACCGCGCACAGCAGCTCGTTGTTCGTGGGCGCGATCCTGATAGCAGAGATGTCTAGCTTGTCGTTGTCGTGCCTCGGCCCGTCGTGCCGTTGCTCACCCGGGGGATCGTAGGTCTGTGCGAGCTGCGCCAGGAGCACCTCGCGGCGCTGTGCTGCACTCATGCGCACAGGGGCCGCAGGACGCCGCAATCGCTCAGTCGCGTCCGACTCGCGCTGCACGATATGTTGCAGGCGGTCGACGTCTTCCTTGATCTGGGCTAGCGTCAACCGACGCACATTGGGGGGCGACGAGACGATGGGGTCGAAGAAGCGCGCGGGCGTTGCGGACACGTCAGCTGACCAGGTGTCGAACCAATTAGCAAGGTAGTTGATGAGGGTGACGATGGTCGGGTGGGCGCGTATTGCATCTTTGAAACGATTGAAAAATCTAGTAGGCACAATGTATAAGTAGCCATACGGACGTTAAGAGGTGGATGGAACACACTGGTGAAGAACCGTCGTCAGAGTCTTAAAAACGACAACGCCTGAGAGGCTGTTCTGCAACATTGATGGCAGGCTGGGCGTGGGATCTTGCCACGACTTGGCTTGTATCATGCCTTCGACGCATTGCTCGATGACAGCATGGACAGTGTCGTAGTTGTTCTCTAAGACAGTGTACAAGTGGCTATGGTGTGCAGATATCATGGGTAGGCTGAATACTACGAGAAAACGTGCACGTACTTGATATTCTTATGCAGAGTAGTCTTGAGCACGAGACTGGAAGCGAAATACTGTAGGAAACCCATTGAGTCAAATCTATACAATACATGGAAGTCGTATAGCGTACCTCGAAGATCGGGAAATATCCTTTCTGGAACGAGAGCGTATTGCCACCGCTCCCTATCATGTAGCTCACAGGTTCGAACCGGAGAATGTCTCCAACGCGCAAAATTGCATTGCCCTAGATGAGCAGAGTGATCAGCAAGCATCAACAGACTTGGGCGAACGAGAACATCGTACATTCACAATCATGTCAAGGAACGCCTGCAATACGCAAGCATGAGCGAGGTAAACTTTCAGACAAGACATAAATACACTTCACCTGTGCAGTCTCGGAGTTCTATGTGGACGGCAGCGCAATTCAGACAATATGTTCCTGTAGCAGTATGGACGACCAACGTACCCATGACTTGTTGCGGTCATTGACGCTCGCCAAAATGCGCACGAATCCCTGCACCCTCGATGCGTTCTCGAAGCGGTGATTGTCTCCTAGGAAGGACTTGATATAGTTATGAGCTTCGCTCGGGGTGAGTGAGTGTCTCTCTTCCCGGACGGAGCCTGTGTTCATAGCAAGCCCTTCCATCGAGAAGAAGTCCGGGTCGACCTCGTCCTCCTCAGATACAGGCGCTTCGACGGCAGGGGTAGCAGGTTTCCGCTCATGCTTGAAAGTGCACTCAAAGGCGCGGGCGCAGCTGCCTGACGCCCAGAACGTATTGCACACGCGGGGCGGGACACCAGACACATGTCCACCTCTGGAGGGAGATGCAGGTCCACCTCTGGAGGGAGATGCAGGTCCACCTCTGGAGGGAGATGCAGGTCCACCTCGAAAGGGAGAAGTAAGTCCACCTCGTGAGAGGTTGGCGGGTCCGCCGCGAGAGGGCGACGCAGGCGTGGAACTCCTAGGGTTCTGGCTCGTTGACGGGCTTCCTGGAGGGGCTGCCGCAGGACTGGATATACCATGAGAGAAATGGCACTTGTCCCCAAATCTGCACGTTCCACTGGCGTACAGTCTGCAAGGCCTGGGAGTTCTGCCGTTGGACGACATAGCGATGCGAGGAAACGACTCCACGGGTGGGTTGCCGTTCAAACGAAGGTTGCGGTTGGCAGGGTCGAATGGCGCTAAGGCGTGCGATACTTGCCTCGTGGGCTACTGTTTGCCGCGAGCATGGAAGGCCTGGAGGCAGTGTGCGAACATCGATGGTAATTGAGACGCCTACAGACGTCCACAAAAAACTGCGCCGGACTAGTTCAGAAAGCAGCTTGCAACAGATAAGCAAACACGTGGATGCACCGCGGTACATGTTGGGAAATATTGAATGTCAAACTGGACCAGGCGAACAGTGGCACTCCGGACGCGGGTCACAACGATTCGCGAAATCCACATACAAAAGTATTTATTGTTTCTTGATAGAGACAGCGCTGTTCAAACGTAGCATACGCTGAACTCTATCTGAGGGCGCCTTCGAAAACACTGTGTTTTGGGTTGGGCTTATCCTCAAAGTCTGGGTAAACGCCCGGCTTTGAGGATGCTCGACCGACATGTCATCGTGGTGTATTGACATCTAAAGTTAGTAGTCACGAACGAAGGGTTAGGCAACAACTGCAACCTCACGAACAGCCGCCTCCTGGCCTTTGATCCGGAATGAAAAGCTGCACGCCATATCAGGAGTTTTGATAGCCGCAAGACTGAACGCCTCTAGCACTGCGATGTTGCCAGTTTGACGAGTATCAGCCCAGTCATAGACAAAGCTATAGTATTGCATACCGAAGGTAGCGAGAGTACAAGTACAACTCCAGCCTGGCGACAACACAGGCGAAACGATAGCCTACTGCGGGCCGCCCAGGTCCGACGCGCCGTGGCAGGCTCATATGCCTATCCTGGTAGTGATACCGGTGGCTCGGTACGTACCTACCAGGATAGGCAGTGAACCAAATAGGGCACGCGCGTGCGGGTCTATTACTTTCTGACCAAAAGATCCTGGTCGACATCTGCGATCATTTCCAGTTAGCGGCAGTCTGCAAACCCGCAGCCCAGGTGATTGTTTTCCATAGTCTTTGGCACCTTGAAGGCTACAATATTTTATGGTAGGGAGTTGCTCAAGGCATACAGTTGCTCAAATCCCCTTATATAGCTTTTTACAATCCAAATTCAAATCTCAAAAGGCTTGAGTGCGTGTTTAGTCCCTAATGAAGACTCTGTCCTCATGGCATTGAAGTGATTGATTCTGATTGTGAAAAAAGCAGTATGCTCGACAACGTGTGTTGAATACACAAACATCGACCCAGATCCTGCCCTGAAAGCGATGAGAATTTCGAGAAAAGACGCAGTGGATCGTGAACCCGAGGCTTGCGAACGCGATCATGAGCAACTCCTTGCCACCCGTAACAAGTACGCCAAGGTCAATAAAGTTTGATCGTCTACGGACGAAGTGTATGCAGCAGCACAGTTCACAATTATCCATTGTACTATAACCTACGGAACCGCAACTTAGTGCAGACTCGGAGTGGACCCTCGCTCAACATGACCATGAGAACCGGTGTACAAAACCACAACTGTTCGCACGGACGGGACGCTCAACTTCACATTGACTCGGAACAGGTAGTTACTAGTTCTAAGCTGCTATCGAGATCAACTCGAGCGAAAGAGTACTACTTCCATCCGCATTATCCCAGCAACTACTAGTCGTTCAAGCTCTAGTACGCTCACCGCAGTACTGCTGCTCCTGCCATCACAGACATTCCTTATCTTCCGGACAGCATGCTGTGCACACGTCATCTTTTCATTTGAGGACATTCCTAGGCTCGGATCTCGGGTGTTATTCTTGAATTCCCAATAGGCCCGGTGTCGAGGCCTGCCATCGGATGTTATCAATGCAGTGTACGTATATCCTTTCGAACTGTATAAACACGCGTTCATGTGTGATATAGGGCACGAGGCGATGTCCTTATAAGTTACGCACTAGGTGAACGGCTTTCGCTCCCCCTCGTATGCGTGACCTCTACACCGAGCGCGTATATATATACACACACACAATCTAGCCGAGCCCAAAAACCGCGTACATGTCTCAGCGTAGGAAGGCACCTTGCCGATTCTTTTCCTCTGTGTCGGGTTGTAGGAACGGGTCGGCGTGTCCATTCTCCCACGACGAACAGTCCCCCTCGTCTCGAGATCAACTTTCCAATGCATCCCCGAACGCGCCCACCCGACGACCGTTTGCGTCTTCAGCCGGATCAACCAACGTTTCAAACGCACCCCCAGGAGTCTGCAGATACTATTGGAGTGGGGATTGTCGTCGCGGTTTTCAATGCTACTACAAGCACGAACGTCCCCCTACAAATATGGAAACTGAGGAGACGACTGATACTTCATTTCCTCTCGCTCTTTCCTCTCATTCCAGACCCTCTACGAACCCCAGTTTTACTCGGCCGGACAAGCATACTCTCTCACCGGGCGAGGCCCACAATCATATCAAGAGTTTTCTAGGAAACAACTATAGCTTCGATAGCCCGATGAAGATGCAAGGTTTTGTCAAGATCTTAGCGAGTATGAACGACAAGAATCCAGCATGGGTACGTCGCCATTAATGCGTGTAGTCATTCTGGGACATCTCATGTTGGACTTGACCAGAATTCCGAGCATGCGCAGGTACCTCTGTTTTTTGCACGGTATCGGTTCCCCTGCTCACTTAACAATCAACCAAGGCATTTTTAGATATGATTGTCAACGTAGGTCTTGCATCGATCAGGTTTTGAGACGATAATGACGCCCTGTTTGAAAGGGAAATGCGTTGCTCCGTATCGGAGACATTCTGCAATACCACCCTGTGGGGATCACGTCCCGTCGCTCCCAGTCGCTGTCGTTCCAGAAGGGTTACCTTCCTATCCTCGAGGTAAGCTTCAGCGGTTACCATGTGAGTTCTTGTATATAAGGCGCTTTCACACCACAGTACCTCGCGTCGAACCTGGTATTGAAGACAACTCGTCGGAAGAACATCATGTATGCTTCTGCAGATTCTATGATTTTACATATTGACACGATTACAGTTCTCTTTATACCGTGGTCGAGAACAACTATGAAGCCATTCACAAGGTGATTGATGAATGCGTAGGAGGCATGATAGAAGCGAAGTCGTGGAAAGATCCCGCGGCCCTCTCTCCCCGTGACGATATCGACGGTGTACTCATTTTCAGAACATTAACGACTGTTTTGTTCCAGTAAGTCAACCCCGATGATATGTGGACAGAACAGACATCTCACCTGTGCACAGACTGTTCACTCTCTTCAAAGACGTAGTGCGCAACCACCGCGGCGTTGCTCAACTCGTTAATGACGTCATCGTCTGGTTCGAGACGTGGTCTCAGGATGTATCCGCAGACCCGCCATGCTTCCAGGATATTCTCACAGATTTACCTCCGAAAGCGCGAGCGTCGTCTATCGCGCGACTCAGGGAGGAGGTTACACGCCTCCACGACATTGTCCAACGGGAGTCGGATGCAATCGAGCGGAAGACACGGCCGCAGGCAGTGAGGGCACGAGTCCTCAACCAGCCGACGCGAGGGCTCAACCCGCAGCTTGTTCTCGCATATGATCCTCCCGGGAATCTGCGCTCAGAGGGTCCCCGCCACGACAACGATGCCGCCGATATACGGGACATTCGTATTCCTCCGACGAACGATGAGTTGCTCTGCGCTGTCCACCCGTACCTGCCACCATTCCGTCCCGATGCTCCACACCATCTTCGCGCTGACTCCATGGCACGACACGTGGACATTCTATTTAGGCTATTGCGTGAAGAGCTCATGTGAGTGCCTGTCCAAAATCGAGTGCGCCTTTCTATTGACGCACTAACAGCTCAACTATGCGATCTTCGATACGAGAACTCCAGTCGGATCTGACAACGATGTGGCAGATGAATAATCGTGACAGAGAACAGACGGCGCTGGAGAGAATCCTGGCAAGCAGAGGTGGCGTGTATCGCTCGACTGGCCCCGACTCTGCGTTCTTCCAAGTTTATACTGGCGTGTCCTTTGCGGACGTTCGTACTGAGCGTCAGACTGTGACTGTGGGCCTGGTTGTTGATACTCCCGATCACCTGGATGCACGGAGTCACGAAGCGTCCACGCGATACCAATATTGGCAATACAGCAAGAGGCTGCAAAGCGGTAACCTAGTCGCCCTTCTCATAGTCGAACAAAGCACGCTAGCCATCTACCTGGGCGTCCTCGCTTCTACCAACGTGTCCATCGCCAAATCCGCTCAAGAAAGCGCTCACACAATCCAAATCCGCGTTTCATTTTTCGAAGCCGAGGTTCAACTCAGAGCGTTGAGACGAGAGAACCTCTCTGTTGGCGACTCTACATTCGCATTTTTGATTGACAACAGTGTCATGTTCGAAGCAGCGCGTCCTTTTTTGCATAGACTGCAGACCATCGAGCCGACAGAGATCCCATTCGCACGCTACATCGCCCATACCAACTCTCTCGACGCAATCGAGTCACGTCCACCCCGCTACGCGACTACTCCTGGATTTGAATTCAAGTTGAGCTGTCTCGAGAAACCTGGCTACGGAGAGCGCATAGATGACCTCAATATATTTGTCGCGGGGGCAACGGACGTAGCGCGCCAACAACTTATGGAATCAAGTGAATTGGACGTCAGTCAAGTGGATGCTGTCATAAACACTATGATGCATGAGGTGTCACTAATTCAAGGGTACGCTGGTTTGCCAATCTCGTAGTGCACCATTAACTTCCATTACAATAGCCCTCCAGGAACCGGAAAGGTACACAAATAATACACCACCAGTGTTTCCACTGAATTTATCTCATCTTAGAGCTTTGTTGGAAAAGAGATCGTGCGTGTCCTTATTGCAAGTGGCATAAAGCCTATCGGTCAGACCATGTCGTCGTCGAGCTGACTTTGTAATGATCTCTGACGTTGATTATATGCAGTATTGGTTGCGTTTACCAACCATGCCCTCGATCACCTTCTGGCGGAAATATTGGACGCTAATATCACAACGGATTTCGTCAGGATAGGATCACGCGTATCCGATGAACGTCTTACCCCGTACACACTCGATCATCTGGAAGACGTCGGGGACCAATCCATGGAACATTCAGTCATGCAACAGTATCGGAGCGTACAGTCCATGCAGCAGGATTTGGAGGATACTATGCGGTCTATCCAGCTCCCTGATCTGAATTGGCGCGACATCAGCAGCTTCCTCGATATTCATTACCCAGAACATGCAGAGAGCTTCTTCTTCCCGCCCTCGTGGATCGCAGGACTTTTTCAGGCTATAAGCAAAGATGAAGAGGAAAACGGTCAGTGGAACACTGTCGGAAAACACACTTCACACTTTGTAGACTCGTTATCGCCGACAATATACGGCTTCTGGCGCAGAGGACTGGATATGAGCTTTGTCTCACAGGCCAATTCCGAGAGCCAGGGACAGAACTATTCTCCTTCGTCTGCTTCATTGTCTAAACATACTTCTGCGCGCGACGTTTTGGCTGGCTATGGGTACACTAGCCGCCTGCCATATATCCCAATAACGGCTCGCCCTATCCTCCAACTACAAGAATCCAACTCGAGCAATGTGTGGTCTATGTCCCATGACGAACGACACAGACTCTCTGCGGAATGGGAACAATGCATCCGCCAGTCAGCATACAAATCACATGTCGATGAGTATGAACGTTTAGTTGAAGGCTATCAGATGGAGTGGCAAATATACAATGACACGCGAAATGATGTAAGATACTTACTGCTCGTGTTCAGGCATACGGAAGTTGATTAATGCCATTGATCTCAAACAGTCACGACGCCGTTTGCTCAGCAAAATGGACCTCATAGCCTGTACGACGACAGGTGATGCTGACTTCTCCCATATGGTTCAATGCACGATACTAATGGCCGTTCTGCACACAGGAGCGGCCAAGTTGACATCTATCCTCGATGTGAGTTTTAACGTAGTACGTACGTCCTGGTACTGACTGCGGCTCTAGCCTGTTTCGCCCAAAGTCCTTATAGTTGAAGAGGCTGGGCAAGTACTGGAAGCGCATACCATATCTTGTCTTCCACCATCAGGTGAGTGTGCATGCGCATTCCAATGGGCTAATCTTATAATCACTACGCATTCAATAGTAGAGCAGCTGATCTGCATCGGGGATCCTCGCCAGCTGCGTCCAAATCTAGCCACATTTAGTAAGCACCTTGTTTAACTGAAAGCGCAACTTCTGAATATTTGATAGCGCTATCGACTGACAATGAACGCGGCAATAAACTGTTTAAATTTGACAGATCGTTGATGGAACGACTAGCAGATGATGGTCTTCCTATGTCAATCTTGCAGAAGCAACGGAGAATGAGGCCTACTATCTCCCACTTGATCCGGTATGTATTTTCAGCGCTGTTCCATGACATGAAAGTTGATAATCGCTTGTGTAGAACGATTCTCTACCCTGAACTTGAGGATCACGGAGCCGTACATGCATACCCCTCAGTGCAAGGGATGCGGAAAGACGTCTTCTTTTGCAGCCATACCAACAAAGAAAACGGCGTGGAAGAATCGGTATCCAAGTACAACGAATTTGAGGTAGTGTCCGTTATATTCAGTCGATAGAAGCCGCCTTATGATGTCGTACAGGTGGAGATGATACGTGATCTCGTGCTCTACTTCTTGAAGCAAGGCATATACAATGGTGCAGGAGATATCGCCGTCTTGTGCGCGTACCTAGGCCAAGTGCAACGGGTTCGCGCAGCTCTGGCAGATTTGCAGGTATCGGTCTCTCTTGATCAGCGAGACAAAGAGCAGCTTGTGCAGCTGGGAATCGATGAAGGTCACGAATTTGACAGGGTTGCCGTCGGCACGCACGTACGCTTTCACTACCGATGATAACGATGTGACGCAGCTCACCTTCAACAGGTCCGCCTTGGTACAGTCGACGTCTTTCAAGGACAGGAAGCCAAAATCGTTATTGTCTCCTTAGTACGAAACTCGGGTACAACAGAGACCCAATCAGCGTCCATCGGTTTCCTCAAGGTACGATCTGCTGTTAGCATGACTTTTATGGAGCTGTGACTAATGCGCTCTTAAGAGCGCAAACCGCATCAATGTTGCGCTATCCAGGGCCAAGCACGGGCTCTACATTCTTGGCAATGCCGCGAACCTTCGCAAGAACGAGACGTGGTCGAAGATCATCGACGAAATGGATGCACGGGAGCAGATTGGACTTGGATTTCCCATTGTTTGTCCACGCCATCCCGAGCAAACACAGATGGTGTCGAAGCCTGGCGAATTAAGCCGCTTTGCACCTGGAGGAGGTTGTCTGCTTCCGTGCGAGTATCGCCTGCCATGTGGCCACAACTGTCCGTCCTCCGTGAGTGAACGATTCCACTGTCTCCTCAACCACTGATCTGGGAATTATTCGCAGTGTCACGCAGCCCTAGACAACCATCGCAACACAAGGTGTTACGATTCTTGCAACCAAATTACCTGCTCGCGTCGTCATCCTTGCTCACGGCGATGCTGGGAAGACTGTGGTAGCTGCGAATTTCCTATGTATAATATCACATTGCCATGCGGACACGTCCAGGACAGAGTTCCATGGTAAGTCATTAACCAATACGTAATTACATCTTGATCTCACCGACGACGGAACAGCCACATGCTGGACAAGCTGGACAAAGTTGCATGCCAGGCCAAAGTACGAAGATCTCTTCCACGCTGCGAACATATAGCAGAAATGGCGTGCTACCAAGATCCCAAATCCATTCGATGCAAGGAGCCGTGCAGCGGCGCTCTGACATGCTGCTCCAAGACCTGCAAGTCTGCATGCTACCGCTGCCAGATGGAGACCGCTGGACCCACATTGGAAACAACGCAAACGCGGATCGTGCGATCAGCCCATCTGCCACATCCCTGTGACCGTCCGCTATACTGTCAGCACAAATGCGGCCTATCGTGTTCTCAGGATCACCACTGCAACTCCTCGTGCAAGGAGGCCTGCCGACAGCAATGCGTGCATCACAAGTGCCCGAAGCCTTGCTCAGAGCCTTGTGCGCCGTGCATGGAGCCGTGTCCGTGGACATGCGCCCACCATTCGTGTCCTGTTGTCTGCGGCTCGGTGAGTTGAATCGGGCAAGACCGGGATGCATTTGCTGAATGCGTTGGCCGGTAGATCTGTGCGCGTCTACCCTGCGACGAGCCGTGTACGAACACGCTCCCATGTGGACATCCTTGTCCGTCGGGTGAGTATCGTCATTATTACGACG